ATATAATATACACACTTTGGGTTTTACACACTTCCAGGAAAGGCAGAGCTAGACATGACCAAAGCTGTGTGTAAACAGTTATATTGAATCATAATACTTTAAAAATCGAATCGCAATACTTGTAAAATTGCAGTTATTCAGAATCGCAATATAAATTGAATCAGGACTCAAGAATCGTGATAGAATCGAATCGGGACAAAAGCATATCGTCCCAGCCCTACTATTTATAGATCTAGACTTTTTTTTTGGTGGAATATAATGGGGAACTAGATGGCACTTGGCTTGTGGTGCTCAGTGCTCCAAAAAATACATTTGAAAAACTCAACAGCAGTGTCTCTTTCCAGAAATCATGACCAGGTTACTCAAAATAATCCACAGACCTTGTTGAGAGCGCTTTCATGTAAAACATTTTTCTTTCTACTGAACTGCACCCAACCCACAGTATCACCGTGCAGATGGAAACATGCATTTACTCATAAGTGGATTTTAAAAATCCCCAGAGTGTGCTCAGAGCTTGTTTAAAACTGCTTTCTGTTCTTTTGCACCCAAGGCATGGGCATGGAATGAGCTCCAAAACGTTGTTACCTTAGAAGCACTCTCTTCTTTGAACACTTTGAAAAGTCTTTGCCAAAAAACATGCTGCTGCTTTATTTATTCTTTGTATTCATTGATCTAGGTGGAATGTGTATGGATGTCACTGGCAGGCCTGCTGTCAGGGGGGTCAAAGGGTACAGATGACCCTAGCCCAAGGCCAAAGGGGGCTCATGAAAAGGCCTGTGGTTGACCCTTAAATTGGTTCAAGTACAACAGTTTACTTACTAATATCACTGACAGTACAACTTATACGCATTTACATGATAAATAAATGTATTTTTATCATTAAAACACATTGCAACATGCCATCTAATACTCCCATCACCTGCAGGTATCGAAAACTGGTGCAGTCCATCTGTCATGAGTCGGGTGTGTGATGTGCAGAACTCACAAGCGGCGCTAATGTAACCATGTGAGGCGAGCTGCAGCCTGATTAGCTTAGTCAGAATACCTCCCCATCAATCAGGAGCTCCTAAAAGAAAAGCCAGAGAACAGGGCCCATTTTCACAAAGATTCTTAGAGTCCTCTCAGAGAGCTCCTAACTTAGCCTAAAAATTCCTAGCAAGGAATCTTAGCTTAAGAGTGATTCAGGAAGTTTCTGAGAGCAACTCTGAGCAAGGAGGGGACAGAAATTTTTATCTTAGTGAGGAGGTGTGGTTGACCCCATTCCTCGGTGTGACGCATGCAGTCTTCTAAAAGCTGTGATTGGTTGTTACAAAAAGAAAAAAAGAAAACAAAAACAAATGCGCTCCTAGTAATGAATGGACAGTGAAATCAACCGATCATAGAACTTAGACTGTATTAAGAAATGTGTAATCGTGAAAATAATTTTATGTCATGATGATGAAACTCAGCAAAATTAAATTAATTGTTACACAGCCTCAAAATGTTTGAACGTACCTCATTCACATGCCAATTATTATATTGATT